GAATTCTCCTTTCTGCCATTAGATATTAGCTGTGCTCCCTGCCTACTGTGCCCCCCTCCCCCCCCCACAGAAATGTCAGGCGGACTATAACGGGCCACAATTGCTCCTCCGATCTGGATCTCAGTCCAGCAGCGAGCTGCCTTGGAGGCTGTCACCAGGATACACAGGAAATGCACCACATTGGGGCGGCCTAGAGGCCAGCAGGATGGCCTGGTTTGGTGGTTAAAGCACAAGGCTAGGCATGAGGATACAGGGGTTCTGCTCTTGCTTCTGCCACAGACGTCCTCCATGCTGTTTTTGGTTCTCCTCCGATCTGGATCTCAGTCCAGCAGCGAGCTGCCTTGGAGGCTGTCACCAGGATACACAGGAAATGCACCACATTGGGGCGGCCTAGAGGCCAGCAGGATGGCCTGGTTTGGTGGTTAAAGCACAAGGCTAGGCATGAGGATACAGGGGTTCTGCTCTTGCTTCTGCCACAGACGTCCTCCATGCTGTTTTTGGTTCAGATCCTTCGGTAGGGCTTTGTCATGGAGCCTGAGGGATTTAAGAGCCTGGATTAAATTGGATTTCGGTGCCTTAGCCTTCTTGGGGAAACCCCCCTGCCACAGTGCAGCGAAAGAGGCTCATGTTTCAGGAGGGGCCTAGTCTGGCGCCACACAGAGCGTCCCCTAGTGTGTAATGCTGGCCTCGCTGCCGGTTCCACACAGCTCTTTCCTACAGCTCCCCTGCCTTGGTTTTCTTTTGAAAACATGGGCTAGAAGAGTGCAGCCCTGCCCTGCCTGGGGCTGTGGTGGGAACTGGGCATTGGTAGGGGGCCGAGATTCTGGGGGGCTGAGGTTCCTGAGAACTGGGCTTGCTGGGCCACCTCCCCCCCAGGACTGCCATAAGACGCCTGTTCCCGCTTGTCAAAGGGGTGATGCTGCTCCCAAGAGGGCAGTGTGTGAGAAGAAGGGTAGCCGTGATGGTGCAGTAAAGGCCAGTGGTGCAGATGCTGTGTGATGGGAAAGCTCCTAGACTGTGCACCTTGTCATTGGGTCAGGCTGAAAGGCATCACCCCTGCATGGCCCCTCCCACACCCCCTCCTAAATGGTTCTGGGGTAGGTTAGCAAAGACCCGAGAGGTTGCTGTTTATATTGCAGGAGCAATATATCATAGACTGGGTGCTGCTAGGGTTGCCAGGTACTTACACTGGCTTTTTTTGTGAATCTCAACCAGTGGAATGAGTACCCTTAGGGGTCCTCAAGAGAAGTCGGGGGGGAGTACTCAACACAACTGAAATTTGGAGAAAACTGAATTTTTGTTTGAAGTTTTACAGCACTTGATTATTTTTGTACTTTTTACATCCAAAAATGTTATCTCCCGCCCAGCTACAGTTAAGTTGTTTAAACAAATGTGTTACAACAGTAGAAACATTTTTGTGTGTGTCTGAAAACTGTAGGTACTGGGGGTACATACAATTTTTTTAAAAGGGGTACTTTATAAAAAAAAAAGAAAAAAAGGTTAAGACACTGCTGTAAGCTTGCCCATTTAACCAGCAGTCTGTGTACGTGCTGGGGAGGGGGAGATGGCTCCTCTTTTCCTACAGACGTTCTTGGCTGTTTAATGAGTAACTCGGGTGGCGAGATGAGAGCCGGCACTTAGCTTGGGGAGATGTTTTGCTTTCCTCTTAGCGCGCCGGAATATCCAGGCCCAATACCTCCACCTGCTCTTGTGCCTGTTGGCTTAGCCCCTGTTGCACCATCCTCCCAGCTCCTTTGCAAAAGGGCTGGTGCAGGAATGGGCTCCCCCATTTCCAGTGTCTGCCCCGAGCGTGCACTAGGCTTGACAGGGGCATGTGCTCCCCTAGGTGTAACAAAAGGGCCCGAAAGAGGGATCTTTAGGACGAGTGATCCATAGGTGACCTTTTCCCCAGGCTCTTACGGGCCTGGTTGCTGCTCCACTTGGTCTTAGGGGGGTGGGAGGGAGCTGTCCAGAGAAAGCCAGAGTAGTTCAGCCTCTTGAGCTGTTCTGTGCCTCGAAGGACTTGATCTAATGTTGGAGTCTGTGGAAAGACGCCCAGTGACTTCAAGGGACTTTGGCTTAGGCCACTTGTTCAAGCAGTCTGGCTGGTGGATACCTTCCAATGAGCGGCTAAGGGGAAGAGGTTGAGTCAGCATGGAACGGGATGTGCTCGGCTCTGTGTGTCTTAGGCTCTATACTGCCAGCTTGAGAGGAGTGCGGTTCTGTCCCTGCCATGTCCGTGAGGTGCCTAGTGGCAGCGCATCCGACAGGAAGTCCCCAGTGCAGCTACAGACTCATTAAACCATCGGTCGCCCCTTTGAGCAAGAGGGGAGTGAAAGGATGGTGGAATTGCACAAGGGAGAGGCAGGGAGGAGAGTGTGGCACCTGGATTGGATCTCGGATGAATTCCCAGCTCTGCTGTGAGCCCTTCGGTCTCAGCTTGTCTGGAGCAGATGGCTGGACTAGTAATTCCAATTCCTGCTCTGCTGCACTTCCCCTTGGGTGGATCACTTAGCCTCATGGAGCCTCAGTTTCCCCCTTTGTACAATGGGGATCCCAGCCGGGCTGTGAGGATACCTAGGTCACAGATGGCGAGGTGAGCAGATGCTGCAGTAATGGGGGAGGTGGGGTGAGTAGGATGGAGAGAGATGCTCTAAAAGCCAGAGCGTGGCTCATGGCTTTGCTGTTCGGGGCTGGGTGGAGACTCGCTTTCCCTTAGCACGTGGCAAAGAGTCGCTGGGGATCGCGGGGGCCCAGCTGCTGTGTTCTGGGAGACCCAGCTAAGAGCTATTGGGGAGCGCAGGTGCTGGGGTTCCACATTCTTGTCTGATTCATCTCTTTCCAGCATTGCCCTCCGAGTCGTAGGACAGCTCCTTGAACGAGGCCCTGGCGTGGTTCACGACGTGTTTGTGGAATGGGGCCTTTTGAAGGGAGCACGGGGAAATGGCCCAAGTCAGTTCCTCTTGGTGGCTGTAATAAGCTTTAATGTCCACTTGAAAGGTGGCTGCTTTTCTGGGGGAGCTCATAAAAGGAACTCAGGGTCCTGGCCTTTGATAAACATGTCATTGTAACCCACAGGAGACGCACTGCATAGGGGCCAGAGGGCAGCTCGGTTCCTGGGGGCCTGTCCCATCCTCTGGCCGTGAGGGAGCCAGTCAGTACTAGTGATGGTGATCCTTTTGGGGTTGCTGATGTTTGCAAAGCTGAGAACCCACCCACTCGTTTCCTGTCGGAGCTGTAAGCTGCTGGGGCGTGGGCTGCCTCACCTCATGGCTGGCGCGGACCAGTGTTCCCTCTAAGTCTTTATGTCCATGTGTGGAATGAATTTTGTTGTGTGCATTGACATGGCGGTGATGTGTGACACATTGCCTCCCTATTGGTGCAGATAACAAAATTCATGTGGCGGGGGTGGGACCGAGGGGTTTGGAGTGTGGGAGAGGGCTCAGGGTTGGGGGTGCAGGCTCTGGGATGGGGCTGAGATGTTTAGGGTTCAGGAGGGGGCTCCAGGCTGAGGGCAGGAGGCTGGGGTGGGGGGTCTGGGCAAGAATTAGGGTGCAGGAGGGGGCTCCTTGTTGGGGTGCAGGGTCTGGGAGGGAGGTGGGGCAGGAGGCTGAGGGCTGGGGCCGGGGCTTA